CGCCTCTGGCCATGGAGAGTTCCTTGGAGAAGGTCAGCGCTGGCTCGGGCTGTTTTGAAGGGGCAGGGGGGGCGTCTGGTGCCCGCCTCATGCCGGGGAGGGGGGGGGGTCATGGCAAGGAATGCTCCTGGGAGATCTTTAGCACCAGTTGCCTAATCCCTCCTTAACAAAACAACCCCCCTCCCCAAATAAGCACACTTGAAACTTTCCAGCCTCCATTTAGGGGGGAAGGCAGAGGGAGTTACTTAAATTGCCTTTAATTAAATTAGCCAGTGCCCCCCAAGAAATCAAGATGCCTCCCAACTTTAAAAACCCTAAAGTTGTTCTGAGGCAGCCAGTGCTTGCTGCTCTGATAGCCATCCTCTTTTCTGAGGGGGACCTTTGACTCAGGTTATCTTGTCTTCTCCTGTTAGGCTTCTTCTACTGGGTAGCCTTGAGTGGGTTGTCTGCTGATTGTCCTGAATCCCTTCAGGGCTGTCACATTTGCTATGTGTTACTGTATCTAACTGGAAAAAGAGAATGTATTGACAGTGTTCCAGGTTCTGTGGGATCAGTGACTCTGTGGTGGTTAGCAGAATGTTCTTGTTGCAGAATTTAGAATGGTGGCTTTGCTGGTGATAGAGAAGGGGGGGGAAAGGTTTGGCTGGCTAGATATGCACAAGAGTCCAGTAGCACCATAAAGACTAACAAAATTCTTAGAAGTGAGCAGTGACTCACAAAAGCTCATGCCCTGCCACAAATTTTGTTAATCTTTAAGGTGCTACTGGAATCTTGCTCTTTTCTACTGCTACAGACTGACTAACATGCCTACACATCTTGATCTAGGTATGAATAGAATTCAATCTGGTGAGACCAGACCAATTGCACCTTGCTGCCAAATGTGCACGTTTACCTTCAAGAAAAGGACATTCTTCCTAATCATCACTAGTAGCATTTTTAGAAGTGTTCTGAATGTTCAGGGAAGTTATCTTAGTAGTTCTTACACAAACTCTGCAAGGCAGAACAGTGAAACTCTGTATTCATTTTTAAAAAGTGAGCATCCTTGGTCACCTAAGGAGATATCTTCCACCTTTTCCTGTTAGTATTCTTGTTACCATAGAGCTGAGTAATGATGAGTAGCAAAACAATTCCAGGGTTCAAATGCAGGCTTGATTTGTTAATATTTATTATGGAAAGTTTCTGTCACGCTTATTTATATGGCCAAAGTTCAGATGTTGCTAGTCTTCCCATCAGCTTCTCTGCTCAGAACCCCTGCCTGCTGTGCAGATGTATTGCAGAGGAAACTGGGGGGTGTTCTTAGGCGTCCTCATGTTTCAGTCACTGGTCCACTGGCCTAAGAAGACGCTTGGTGCTCTAACCACTGTACTGTAGTGACTCTCCAGGACTTTCCTCTGGTCAGACACGCAATAGAAAATGTGCCAGGTGGTCCTCATCACTGATGCAAGTAAAAGTACAGGTGCTGCTTTTATTGTTTTGAAGGGTTTTAACCTCCCAGTGTTTTTTGTTTTGTTAGATTTTAGGTTTTTTCTGCAAACCTGAAGCTTTTCTGAGGTTTGTCTTGTCTGCTAATGGCTCCAGTCTCCATATTTAAGTATCCACAGATTTGGCCATATTGAGAATTAAATATATTGGGGCTCATACATATTTTTAGCAGAGGATATGAAACAGCAGTCATAAAACAGCACCCAAGCAAGGTGCCAGCTGAAAAACATTGAAAGGAGGAGATGATCCTTTAGGTAAAAGCCTGGATAAACCAATGCTTTGGCCCCCGTACTTAACAGATGTTTAGGAGGACATCTGAGCCTCCAGCAGGAGACTAGACTCTGTCAGCACCTCAAATTACAAACCTAGTTTTTTAGTTTATTGATTAGACGTTGCAGCCTCACCATGAATTTTAAATATTCCTCTGCCCCTTTTAACTGGCTTGGTCTGACTAATGCTGGTTGGCAGCATACACTTTGCCTTGATGTGGGAGAAACAATGGAGCAGCTGACTTATGCGTGTATCTATCTGCACTTAGGCACATGTTCAGAAAGAGAACGCCGTTATAAGCTTCCCCTGGGTCCTCCTGTCTGTCTGATCTCTTTGTTTGCTGGTGTGCATTGAAGCCCAGTGATCTGTGGCTTCAGATCATTTTTCAAATGCAAAGGGTGTCATTCTGCTATGTTTCAGAATCTTTAAGGAACTTTTGGAAAGCTGGATTTTTCTGGCGTACACCATCTCTAACTGGCATTCGTCACCTTTTCTTTAAATTACAGCATGCTATTTTTATACCTTCTCTCTGATACACTTGTTTTTTGCTGCGCACGAACAGACTTATTACCGCTGAGCCAGTGACCTTTTCTTTTCTACGCCCCATTCTTTTTTTGTATTTCCTGAGCTGCTCCTGCATTGCATAGCATGCAAGTTGCTGTGTAGCTACAGCAGAAGTAATAGCTTAGCCACTCCTGGACACTTTGCAGGCAGAGAACAACCAGACGGAACATTTGTACCATGATGGTAGTGCAGTAAGCCACTGCTTGGTACTTTTAGAGCATGGGTCTCTGGGACAATGCTACAGTTGCAGTGGGGCTGGTGAAGGAATATGTACGTTTGTGCTAATGTGGTGGAGACTGTGTGCCATTATAGGAACTGTTTTCATTTGAAACCAGTGTGTGCTGGAACAAAAAGTGGGGACTTGTGGTCCTGTGCAGACTCATGCAGTTAGTGTGGTCAGCTGTCTAAAATGTACCCACATTCATGAATCTCAGTTTCTGCAGATCAGTTTGGACCAGATGTGGGAAAACATACACATGTATACACAAAATCAGCTTTTTAACTTTACAGCCCTATACCAGTGAAAGGGATGACCTACTTCTATCTTCTCAGAGGCTGCAAAAACCCATAAATTGCTCACCCCATGCATGTACAGGCTCCATAGCAAAGTGGGAATCCATTGGTAGTGAAAGCTTTACAGTTGTGAAGCACATATACCAAGTCACAGCTGGGGCATTATATGCAAAGGAAGTGTAGCGAAGTGTGAAATCTCTTATTTGAAATAATTTCTCTCTTCCTTTGATGGGAATCTGGATGTAAAGATGGCACACCTTAAGATATGGATGGATCTTCTGGCTGCCAGTTGGCCACCTCAAGATGAATGTTAGAGAATTGTGTTAAGATATTTGAATGGTGCCAAGGAAGTTGTGCTTCCATGTGAGTGAGAGAGCCTCTCCCCCCGCATTTTGCTTCATATGTTTGCAGTCAATAACTGGGAAATTGCATGAGTGGAGGAATGTTGTGCGCATTCAACTCCTATGATTTTTCATTCAAAATTTGTTCATTCAAAACCACGGCTCATACCCAGAGAGGGAGCTTTGGTGATAGAACTTCAAGTAAAGCAACCTGCTTATGGATCCTGATT